TTCTTGGGATATATTCCTAGAAGTGGGATTATATATATTTTCTTTATTGTCTGTGTTTGCATTGGAGATTCAAGTTGTTCATGGAGTGCTGATTTCCCTGGTCAGACACTTAGTCTACAAATGATCTTTTACAAGGTCATATTCTGAGGCAGTGGTTCTCAACCTTCTGGCCGTTTAAATACAGTTCCTCATGTTGTGACCCAACCATAAAATTATTTTCGTTGCTACTTCATAACTGTCATGTTGCTACTGTTATGAATCGTAATGTAAATATCTGATACGCAGGATGGTCTTAGACGACCCTGTGAAAGGGTTGTAAAACCGCCAAAGGGGTTGCGACCCACAGGTTGAGAACCGCTGTTCTAAGGAGCGATATATAACACTCCTGGGAGGTCCATAGTACTAATTTGAAATGCAAATTGATCAAGCATTTTGGAACATTTTTTGAACTTGTGATAGTGTAAATCTGGTGTGTTATTGTGGAGTGTGCTATAGTAACATTTATTGATTGCATGTTATAGTTGGACAATGTATGTAGTAAGATTAGAACAGTGTTAGTTTAGTTTTCAGTTGTTGTTACTGAAAGGAAATATATCTTTTTTAAAGATTTTAGGCAACTATTACATTTTAACATGATTGCGTGGTGTTAATACATTTGCCTTTAATTAGGAAGAATACATGGGTTCGTGTGCTTGGCCCCAGATATAAATGTAAATACTTGTATTGGGAGCTGTTTGGTTTGGACCTTTGAGGGGTGGTTCCTGTAGCATTTGTAGGGTGTTGATCAGCCTGTCCTTGGGCGGCCCGCTGTTTGTTCTCTCTTCCTTGGGTACCAGTTAGTCAGGGGCCACGCAGAATTGGGAAGGTAGCTGTGGCTTGGCCAGCATGGTCGGAATAATGGTATCAGTTTCTGGGAGTCAGCAAAGGGTTATATGAGGTCTACCATTGCATCTTCAATAGATAATTCTGCCTGCCCTGTGTGTAAGCTGTGTGGACATGGGGAGGGGAACTGGCACTTACTGAAAGCCTACTTTATTGGAAACTGTTCTTTCACAAATGTTTTCCTATGAGGTAGGTATCATCTCTTTTTACAGATAGGAGAATTGAGGCTCAGATGTTAAGAAATTTACTAACGGTAAATGACTGATACAGGATATTAAAAATTTTTTTATTGGTTTTAGAGAGAAAGGGAGAGGGAGAGAGAGAGAGAGAGAGAAACATCAGTGATGAGAGAGAATCATTGATCTGCTGCCCCCTGCAGGTCCCTTACTGGGGATGGCGCCTGCAACCCAGGCATGTGCCCTGACCGGGAATCCAGCTGTGACCTCCTGGTTCATGGCTTGATGCTCAGCCACTGAGTCACACCAAACAGGTGGCCCTTTTAAATTCTAATTGAAAACTTAAAAACATATTCTAAACTTCATCATAATGCCTTCTTGTTAATTTCCTGCCTGCTCCACATCTGTCTCAGTCACCCTTTCCACCTTGCTTTCTGCCTTTTTCTTTCGCTGACCTTTCTGTCCAAATCTGTTTCTACTTTAGGGCTGTTGGGTTAGTTTTTTCCCTCTATTTGGGCTGCTCTTTTGCTGAGTCTACGTGGCCAACCTCTTCTTGTAATTTAAACTCTCAACCCAAATTTATCTCAGAAAGCTTTCCCTATTCACTATTCTAAAGCATCCAGGATTTTCTTATTATACTACTCTATTCTCTGCATAGAACCTGATGTTTATCATGTTGATTTTTTAAAAAATTGTTGTTTCTTGCCTTATTCCTCTCAGATTGAGTTATTCTTGTATTATTATTTATTAACTATTGTATTACTTTCCCAAATAAACAACTGTACAGCTCTGTTGTCCCATCCTGTATTTGTTGAATGGATACATTGAGAAAAATCAAAACCATCAGGTACAACTTTGTTTAATTCACTGCCTCCATTTGTCTCTCTCTGGACCTGTCCTCACTTCTCTTCTTCCTGTTTGAGAGGAAGGAGATGTGTCTTCTTTTAATGTGTGTAGAGTTTCTAGTTGTGCTGTAGATTCCATTTCTTGTTCAGTTTTCTCTGAAAAACCTTCTGTCACATGCCTCTTGTGATCCTTGCAGGTCCTGCTCTCTTCGTGCCAGCTTCCCCTTCTCCCTTCCATGGACTAACCCAAGGACCTACCATGTTCACATTTTATATGTGAATATATATTCTGTAAGATATATTCTGAATTGTAAGCAGCTGACTTAAAGTGCGATTTTAGAATGTAACACTGACACACTAGGGACTATCTGTATTTGTTTTATTAAAGGTGAGTTCTTGACACTATTGCACTTAGAAGATAGTTGTCTTCTGAGGCGGAGTCTTTTTTCTTGGCTATGCCATTCTCTTTTGGCCTGAAATTCTTGAGAGGATGAGCACTTTCCTAAAGCCTTGAAATAATCATACATTAAATATTTTTGTTGATTAGTTTATGTTTTTTTGCTAGGCTTTTCTGTAGGTCTGTTCCTTAAAGTTTAGGAAATGGTGTATATCCAGCTTTAGAAATTTAATACTGTCTCACTCATAATTTAAAGAGTCCCGGTTGAGTATTCATTAAATGGAAATTTTGCAGTTGTTCTAGATGGACCTGACGATTCCACTTCTGGGGGAATCTATCCTAAGGAAACAGTCTGATATATAGAAGAATGAAGTACCTAAGGATGTTCATCACAGTGATACTTGCAATACTTAAGACTTGAGAACAATATAAATGATAAAACAGAGTGTGGGCAATGATTAAGATATGGTATATTCATAGACTGCAACCACTTAGACATCTCAAAAGGTTTATAATGAGCTTCTGGTGACAAAAATATAGGTATTTTAAAATGTGAAATGATGAGTAAGATGTCAGAGTTCTGCAAATGTTAGACTAGGTTGTTTCAAATTAAATATACTGCCGACAACTAGAAAAGCTAGAAGATACAGAAAAGCGGTAGAAGCAGTGAGGAATGATGAGGCCAAACTCTGGAAGATGAGGAAAGCTCAGAGAGGTGAGCCCGGTGCTTGAGGCGGCCTTGCCGATGAGGTCATTGCTGATTTAGCCCAGGAGGACAAAACATTGGAATTAGAGCCTGTCAAAGTGGAGGGCCCTGGGAAACACTCTTGGTTTTTGAGTGCAGTCCCTGAGTAAGGAGTAAGGGTGAAACAGAAGTAGACCAGTCTTTTTAAGGACTGAAGCCCAGCTTTTAAATCTTCTCAATTCTGGATTAAGATGATCTGGGATTCCTAGTGTCCATAACCTATCTGCCTGCCAGTACCAAAAGTAAGTCCTTTCTGAATAACATCTTCAGTGGCCTCAGCTTGTCTCTCTACTTTTTTATAGATAACTAGTGGCCCAGTGCATGAAATTCATGCAGCTGGGGGTGGGGGATTCCCCTCAGCACAGCCTGCACCCTCTCCAATCGGGGACCCCTTGGGGGGATGTCCGACTGCCAGTTTAGGCCTGATCCCTGTGGGACCACTGGCTTCTAACCGCTCACCTGCCTGCCTGATCTCCCCTAACACCTCTGCCTGCCTGATCGCCCCTAACCTCTCTGCCTGCCTGCCTGATCACCCCTAACTGCCCTCCCCTGCTGGCCTAATCTCACCCCCAACTGCCCTTCCCTGCTGGCCTGGTCACCCCCAACTGCCTTCCCCTACCAGCCTGATCTTGCCCCTAACTGCTCTCCCCTGCCAGCCTGATCTCACCCCCAACTGCCCTCCCCTGCCAGACTGATCACCCCTAACTGCCTCTGCCTCAGCCCCCACCAACCTGGGTAAAGAAAGAATGTATGAGGAGAATTCTCAGCCTAGGTAATGGAGATACTACACAAATGTTGGTGCAGGTCTGTGATCGCTTGAATGGGTAACATGTAGAAGTAGTTCAGCTGGTTTTAATTTCTGTCAGTAACAGTAAGCATTACCCTGTGCACCAAAAGTTGCCAATTTGATTCCCGGTGAGGGTACATGCTGGGTTGTGGGTTCGGTCCCCAATCGTAGTGCATGCATGGGGCAGCCGATGGGTGTTTCTCTCTCTCTTCCTTCCTCTCTTTCTGAAATCAATCAAAACGTATTTTTTAAAAATTAAAAAAAAAGAAAAATTACTGGCAAATTCTGAGAGACCTGAATTTATCTGAGAAGAAAGTGTATGTCAATGAGCTCCAGGCTTCCCTGGGTCCACAGCCTCTCTGATCCTGTCCCCTAGTGGTTGTTCAGAGGCCATCCCTCCAGCACCCATTCACCTCCCGGCAGCCATCTTCACTTCCGAGCTTGAGAATTTTCTCATGCTTTCAGGGAGTAAGCCGTGCATTCAGAAGGAGTTTGCCATGTTTCATCGGCTCTTTTAGGCATGTGTGTGGATGTCCCTCACCTTCCCCGCCTTCCTGCTGCAGTTGTTTAGTCTGTTACATGTTGTCGGAATCATTAGCCTCCCATATGGTTTTACCCTTCTAGGGGAACCACTAAAAATGTGAATAGGCCCTGGCTGGTTTGGCTCATTGGATAGAGCGTCGGCCTGCGGACTAAAGGGTCCCGGGTTTGATTCTGGTCAAGGGCACATGCCTGGGTTGTGGACTTGATCCCTAGTAGGGAGCATGTAGGTTGCAGCCAATCAGTGATTCTCTCTCATCATTGATGTTTCTCTCTCTCCCTCTTCCTTCCTCTCTGAAATCAATAAAAATGTATTTTTTAAAAAAGTAAATTGATAACCTATGGACAGAGGAGTTATTGATCATTTCTTGTATTCTTATCCATTTTTCAGATTTCTGCAATAGCACATATTTTATATCTTTTTAAACTTAAAAAAGGAAATTGTCCTTAAGATCCTCCAAGTAATAGCCCTTCTTTTCCATTTGTTTCAGGTGGTGCGGCTGTGTCAGAACCCAAAGCTGGCGCTAAAGAACAGCCCGCCTTACATCCTAGACCTGCTGCCAGACACCTACCAGCACCTGCGCACTGTCCTGTCAAGATATGAGGGGAAGATGGAGACACTTGGAGAAAATGAGTATTTTAGGGTGTTCATGGAGAATTTGATGAAGAAAACTAAGCAGACCATAAGCCTCTTCAAGGAGGGTAAAGAAAGAATGTATGAGGAGAATTCTCAGCCTAGGTAATGGAAATACTACACAAATGTTGGTGCAGGTCTGTGATTGCTTGAATGGGTAACATGTAGAAGTAGTTCAGCTGGTTTTAATTTTCTGTCAACAAGAATGCAAAGCTGACATTTGATTTCAAGGTGGGGTTTATAGGAAAGGTTGCCTGGGGGATGTTGAACTGTTCCTCACTTCCTCTGAAAAGTCAGTGACTTCCCATCATGAAGATGAGTTGGAGGCAGTAGGTCCATTAAAGACCCTGAAGATCATGAAATTTTGTGGGTAGGTGACAGTTTGAAAGAAAGAGGCTGGAGTGTTCAGCTGAGGTATAATAAGGGCAGATTTTGCCGGAGCTGTAGCATATTAGGTAAATTTAAGTATGGGATAATAGGAAGACAAATTAAGGCAATAGTTTAGATAACTTTTAAATAAAAAGTAGTGACATAACATTTCTTTTATAGGTAAAGTGACTTTTCAAATAGAATAGATATTGGCAAATGTAAGTTAATTCAATAAATATTTGAGGGATCATTATATATTCTTTTATTCTTAAGTACCAAAAACTATATTGGCTGTCCTGTTATTGGTTTTTGGAAGCTACATACTAGGAGAGAAGTAGGTTGAATATATATGTGGGTATAGTTGTATTTGGTTTTATTCAATTGAAAGTAAAGATTAACTCATCTAAAACAAGTAAAAAGTGTAAGTTCCACTAGTACTTTTTAGGAAATAAACTACTCTTGAGGAGTGACCTGAATTAGGGGCAGTACTTTCTGAGGGCATTAAGCAGTAACTTGCTACCTCGTATCCTTGTGCCCTTTGATGCTGCTGTTTTAGATTCTGTCTCTCACTTAATAGTTGATGCACATCATTATTCCTATTATCTTTACTACCAGAAATCACTCAGGTTCGTCCCGGATACTAGTCTTTTCTTCTTTATTTAAAAAGACGTCGGGTGACTAAATTCAGGGTGTAGGAACCTTTGTGACTTCTAGTTTATATGAAAATGAACTTTATTCCTTTTAATTATTTTAATTTTATGACTTATGTTAAAACCTTGAGCCCTAACCGGTTTGGCTCAGTGGATGGAGCGTCGGCCTGCGGACTCAAGGGTCCCAGGTTCGATTCCGGTCAAGGGCATGTACCTTGGTTGCGGGCACATACCCAATGGGGAGTGTGCAGGGGGCACTGATCGATGTTTCTCTCTCATTGATGTTTCTAACTCTATCCCTCTTTCTTCCTTTCTGTAAAAATCAATAAAATATATTAAAAAAACAAAAAAAAAACCCCTTGACTATATGGACCTTAGCTAACTAGTTTTGTATAGTTGAGTTTAAAAAAAATAATTAAAAAATACAATTTTACTTTATTAGGTACCAGGACTTTCAAAATTTAGTTGCCATCTACAGTGAACTAGGTTCTGTTTAAATTCTAGGTGAAAAGAAGAGTTACGCATTTAATTATGATGCAACATGATAAATGCTTTCGTAGAGGTGTGTGCAAAATGCTGTGAGAATACAGTTTTGCTTAGTGGCTTTAGGGAGTGTGACAGAGAGAGGTGTTATTTGAGCTAGATTCTGAAGGGTAGGAATTTTCTAGGCAGAAGAGTGAAGAAAGGCCTTTAACACAGTGGCATGAAAACGTCAGCTCTGTATGTTTTAGGACATGAGCAGTGTGGTTTGGCTAGAATTGGGGAGAGAGGTAAGCTGGAAATACAGGTTGGAATTGGATTGTAAAGAGGTGTTCTTTGACCTCTAAACCTTCTCCTATAGATAACAGGCTGCCATAAGAGAGTTTTTTCTAAAAGGGCGTTTTTCTCTTTAAGATTTAAAAAAATAGATTTTTAGAGAGAGAGGAAGGAAGAGAAATGATACCAAAATCTCAACAGTAGTTATTTCTAGGTATTGGAATTAGAGGTAATTTTAATTTTCTTTCTGTTTATATTTTCAACATTTTCTACAATGAATATGTAATCTACCAAATTATTTTTAAAAGAAGGAAAAATATATGATCATTTTTAGGTACCAACATGGATTCACAAGGTCAATCCAGAGAAACGTGTTGTTTGTTACAGAACATGATCGGTTGACTCAGCTGGGCTCAGCGAACTTAGTTACACACAGTGCTAAGCCTCATTGCCAGAGGCTAGAAATCTTGGTCGAAATGGAGAAGGTGAAGTTAACGGAGGTGAACACACACGCTGAGTTCCCAACACAGCCCTCTCCAGCTTCAGGACACAGTGCTTGTATACCAGGATCAGTCCTGAGTCACTGGGTTAACTGTAATACATGACAGTAACATGTTTGGTTTTCTTAGAAAATATCATGTAGGGGTAGGCAACATATTAGTGCCTAAAGTACTGTTTGTTTCTTAAAACTGTATATCTAGTTGTCAAGAGCTTTTGTTTATTAATGTAATTTTTTTCTCAAACTTTTTTAATTTTAAGATCCTTTACATTCTAAAAATCATTGAGGACATTAAAGAGTTTTGTATATTTGGGTTATACTGGTGTATCTCAATATTAACCATATTCAGTATTAAAACCAAGAAATTAAAAATATTTAAGTAGTTAAAATAACATTTAAACAATTTAAAATAACAGTGATAAGCCCATTACATTTTTTTCTTTTATCTTTAAATTCTTTATTAGTTAAGGAATTACAAATGTGCCCCCCCCCCCCCCCCCTCATTAACCCCCATCTTCCCCCG